AGTTGACAGTGTTTAAAAAATCAAATCCAATTTAATTTCAAAAACGACATTTGTGTAAAATAAAAAAGCTGGGCCTGTTGATGTGCAACAAGGATTTTATGGGTTACAACTTTTTTTTAGTGGTACAGGCTGATTTGAAATTCGATGAAATATAAAACCCTCTCTTCACTAAGTACATGTTTTGAGGGATTTAGATGAAACATTGAGCCTTGCCATGAGTTTCATTTTCCCCGAACCGGTTCACTTTTCACTTTTGGTTTCCATGGCTTTACTATGGGCGGACGACAAATTTTCGGGAGAATTTTTTTCAGGCGAAACCCAGGATAAAGCAGATTTAAAAAGTTCAAATGAATTTAGGCGTTTTAGCGCTATGCGGATTTAAGTTTATTGGTTATACTATGTACAGCCTTTGGGTGATGCGATTTTACAAGATTGGGCAGTAAATAAAATTTCAAGCCAATAAGCAACGGGTCTGTACGAGAGTGGTACAAAAAAAAATCCGATAGGTTTCCTTTTCTTCAAAAATGTTTCGTTTCGTCGAAATAAGTTCTGGCACCAAACTTTACAGTTCAGCTGCACTTGGCTTACTCTGGGTGCCAAGACACTCGGCAATACCTTAGAGCAGGCAAACAGGTTTAGCATTCCCACATTCGGTCACCGAAGTCATCGTTAAGAAATTGCTGAATATTTCGGTCAGCTATGTCTGCAAGGCATCGAAGGATTACAGGTCAACAAAACTCATGTTGCCTTCAATGTTAGAAAGTCCAGCTAGGCATTTGATTTCATTGAGTAGATGGGACAGCAAGTGACTTGGGTGAATGTAGGCTGGTCAGTTCCCCGCGAACAAATACCTGATTGTGTACGGTATACATGACAACGATGGTGCAGAGGCTTAGCGAGTTTAAGAAACGGCTTTCATCGCCATTAGTTTACCATCAGAAAGAAAGAATTAACAGTTGCAGATGTCTTGGGTTCCGATCAGCCCTCGCTGAGCAGACATAAGGCTCACCGGTTCAAGATTAGTCTGCATGCGGTCAAAAGTACACCAATAGCCAAGCTGCTATTAACTCTCTTAAATTCAACCGAACAGTATCGAAAATAGGTATGCGTAAGGAGTGGAGAGCATCGAACATTATTATCGAACACAGGTGTACCTTCGCTATGCTGTCTTTGCAATGGGGAGCGCTGCCTCTTAGTCTGATCGGCAAAGAGCCCCCACCGGTATCAATGTGGGCAAACACTCGCAGTTTCTTACACCGAGAACTCCATAGAATATTGGTCTTAAATATATAGCGTAAAGCCAGGAAAATACTTTTATAGAGAGGGCTGAACTCTTACCAATGAAATTTATGTATGTACATATATGTATCGTTTTATCGCATAAAAAGAGAAAGTCAAATTTCGAAGGAAAAACTAGATTTTTTTTTTTTTAATTTTGAGCTAAATGTCAAGCCTGTTAATAGGGGCAATTAACTTAGCGTACGAAACATATGTATGGAATGGATGACGTCTAAGGCGACATTCAATGGGATGTGACCAATTAAGCTTTGGGTCAGAGACGTGCCATTGATGTTGATTAATAACGCGATAAAGTAAATACTTAAACATCTACATACATATCTATATGGACATACGTACATATGTATGTGTAGGTAATAATCATTTACCTACATATAGTTTATATCTGTGTTCGTATTAAATAGTAGCTTATGTCGAGAAGCTGGCTTTAGTATAATGCGGCATTCCCTATATACATACTTTAAACGACTAGGAATGTTTTGATGAGACTTAATGAGAATATTGACTTGCTAGTATATAGCAACAAGTTCTTGCCGTTTATTTGCCAAATGTTCTTCAACGGCTCGGCGGCAATGAGTAATTCGCAATCGCATGCTGCGAATGCCGCATTATACTAAAGCCAGCGTTTCGACATAAGCTACTCTTCCATATGAACACAGATATAATNAGAATTGCGACAGAGCTCAATGAGCGTGTTTATTTTTATATTTTTCATTCATAATTTCAATCGCCGTTAAACAGTATAAATATGTAGGAACAATGCAGTGCGCGCTTCCACTCCGCTGCGCCTAGGTTTAAGCCCCGGTCAAAGCAACATCGGAAAAAGTTGGAGAAACCAGCCCTTAGACCTGACTTGGCTTAAAAAGTGTATACATATCTGGCCATGAGAGAATCATGCTGCCACATTATTTTTTCACATATTTTTAATAAAATTCCTTTAACTATGCCACACAAATATGATTTTTTGTATAAATGCAATTCATCTGCTAATCGAAAAACAAACATTCGAAAAAAGACAGAACATAAAATAAAGACAATTACAATTTGATACGCTTAAAAACATTAATTTCAATTGTAATTTGTATTAAGTTTTACCACAAACAAATTAAACGCTTAAAATTTTGCGTGTACAAATACAAATGCTGAGGATCAAAACAAAAGAGAAAAAGCAATAGATGACAAGGAGAGTAATCGTTTCTAAGTTTCTAGGTAAGTCAAGTCAAGTGTAAGTGCATAACCGGGCTTTTAAAAGTTATTCATCATTTGACATTATAGTCGGTGTTCAAAAGAGAGAAATGGCAAAATCACTTCTACCTTATTTAGTATGCCTTGTCTATAATTCATATACACTACATACATCATTTCTTTTGTAAATAAAGCCATGTTTTTTAATGACAACTTAGGTAAATTTTGTTTTAACTTTGGTACTAAAATTGTGGTTCATAAAGGTTGACTACTTAATTGCATATTAACATTAAAAAAAAAAGATTAATGGCGTACTTCTCGCAAACTAGCTATATATATGTATATGTATATGTATGTGCACATATATGTATATTTGGGTGTTAGATTATTCGTATTTTTTCCAAAACCTGGATTCGAGTTATTCTGCCTTATCCTGAGTTTCGCCTGAAAAAAAAATCACCCGAAAATTTGTCATCCGCCCATAGTAAAACCATGGAAACCAAAGGCGAAAAGTGAACCGATTCGGGGAAAATGAAACTCATGATAAGGCTGATTATAATTTAACGGAACTGGTTCCCGATTGTGAAATTAAGAAAAAACCGAAGCAACCATGACCGTCATGACCAAAAATTAGAATGAAACTATTACATTAAAGATAGCTTTTATTTAGGAAAGAAAGTGAAACAAATTTATCAGTGAAAAATTCACTATGGGCTTTATTTTAACATTTAAATATTGCATTTTTTATACACGAGCGCACTTGTGCACAAGGGTATTATAACTTTGTTCACATAACGGTTTTTTGTAACAGGCAAAACGAATCGAGATAGATATAGACAAATGTATACATAAATGATCAGAATGAAAAGAGAAATCGATTAAGCGGTGACTGTCTGTCCGTCCGTCCGTCCGTCCGTCCGTCCGTCCGTCTGTGCACACGATAACTCGAGTAAAAATTGAGATATCTTAACGAAACTTGGTACGTGAACTTCCTCAGGGCGTAGGACAGATGGTATTGAAAATGGGCGAAATCGGACAATAACCACGCCTACCTCCCATATAACGGTAAATTTCAGAAATGCGTAAACTGCGATATTTTAGTAACTACTGAAGGTAATTCACTCAAAATTGATATTTACAATGAGTTTTAGACGAAAAATAAGAATATTAAAAAATTTTGCGAATGGGCTTAGCCACGCCCACTTATGGTTACATGTGTGTATCTTGGTAACCGCTGCACCAATTTCTTACAAACGTGGTCCTGGTGCAGGATACCAAATGGCCGAAAATTTTTAAAATCGGACAATAACCACGCCCACATCCCATATAACGGTAATTTAGAAAAATACGAAATCTTCGATAAATCAGTAAATATTAAAGCTAATTTATTCAAAATTGATGTTTGGAACAATTATTTACTAGGAAATACGTTTATGATAAAATTTTGGAAAATGGGCGTGGCACCGCCCACTTATGATCACATATTTGTATCTCGGTAACCGTTCACCAATTTGTACCAAACTCGGTATGGCTATTGTGCTTGCCACATAGAAGCAAAACGTTGAAAATTATTGAAATCGGACTAAAATTACGGCCGTTTTTCATATAACGGTAAATCTCAGAATTGCTTGAAATTTGAATATTTCGAAATTTAAGGACGCTAATTTACTTAAAATGTATACACCCCGGCTTATCATGTAGCGGTAGCTTTCGGAAAGGTGGAAAAATATTTCCTTTTTGGTTGTTGTTGTTTCCGACAGGGTGGGTGTATGATGTATTATGGAACGAATTTCCGCCATCCTTTGTCAAATTTGGTTCTCTCGGAGAACGAAAAATGACACTGAAGATGGCACAACGCCGAAACCGGTTTGTCTCCAAACCAAATTTGACAAGGGATGACGGAAATTCGTTCCATAATACATACGTGGAAAAATATATTTATTACTTGCGCCGGGTATGTTATGTTCGGCTTCGCCCGAACTTAGACTTTCTTATTTGTTTTACTTTTAGGATGTCAGCAGCGCTCTTGCCGCTGCGCGCCGTAGCCAGTTGCTTAGATGTGCCTACTGCCACTCGGTAGGCTTTCTGGTCCCAGCAACATCAAATAGCGGTCGCCCCACGGCAGACAATGGCAAACATCCGAGTGTACTTCTGCCATAAAAAGTCTTCTTTGTAAAAGTGTGAAGTAAAAGTGCAGATCTCTCCATTTGTGTCCCAACATCAAGATGCAGAACACGAATTGGAGGAGAAGCTCGGCCAAACATGTAGAAAACGTTAAAGTACCAAATATTTATTTACTGGAATCAAATATGATACACTGCTCATCGCAAAATAACCTATAATATAGTTCTAAAAAAATTTGAGGGTTTCCATTAAACAGGAAAAAGCCTTGAAAATTTAAAAAATTCAAAACTTTTATTGTGTGAAATGAAAAAAAAACGGTTTGTTCAATAAAAAAATTCAAGATTTCAAAACAAAAACCCATACAGATATTTAAAAAAAAACCGGTTGGAAACTGGTTTAGAAAAACCGAGTTAATCACCCTAGTATACATATTATTAAGATATTAAGTAAATATACGAGCATTGCTGCATAATTTTCTCAGCTTCATAGCTGTATTTACAAATGTACATACATACATATGTGCATAACAAAATGTCAACAATATTGATAACAATGACTAAGCCGAATGTAGAAAAAATTTTGAGAAAATGCAATAGTAATTACTTCGCAAATATTTACATATCTACATTATGCACATATGTACATATACATATATGTTTCACACATTTAACTGTAGAACACATCCCAATTTGCCACAGAGCGAAGACGAGTTCGAATCGACGTCGTTACGACGTCGCTCTGATGAAGTTGTTTGGGTGAACTCGAAACGACGTCGAAACGAAGTCGTTTTTTCCATACAAAATGGAACGTCCTTCCGACGTCGTTTTTTCTCATCGAATCGACGTCTTTACGACGTCGCTCTGGTGAAGTCATTTGGGTGAACTCGAAAACTAAGCGCAAATTAAAGTCATTCATTTGGATAGTAAACCGTTTTCATTATGACAATTTTTTATTATGACAGAATATGGAATCCGCAGTGTACACTTGTGCTCAGAAAATTAAGGCACCTATATCGTTTTTTCAGTATTCATAATATTTTTCACTTATATTTTTTTTTTAATTTTTTGTGTATACTGCAAAGTTGCTTGAATTTTGAACTATAAAGTCCTTGTTAAAAATATAAACCCAATTTTTATAAAAATGATTAAAATGAAATGGCAAAAAAATTAATTGTTAAAACTTGTCTGTATGTGGTACGTTAAAAAATTTTAACAAAGGGTGTAGTACTGTATTCAAATTTTAATTTGTATTTTATAAATGACCGAATATTTCTCTTATTTTTCTTTTTAATTAATATGTTAGTGTGTACATTGAAACAAAAATTAAAAAAAAAAAATATTTATTGAATTAAATTAAACTATTTGAAATAAAAAAATTTGTTTTTAATTTTATAGTACTGTCTGCAATTTTGAGCAGTTCGCTGCTATATCGTTTTTGGAGCCCGCCGCCGATCTGTGCTTCATCCGACGGCGAGTCGTTTGTGAACGTCGCCGCGAACATATTGTTTACCAAAACGAGTCGGAAACGACGTCATTACGAAGTCGTTTGACAAATTGGGATATTATAATGGTATCAGCGCTTTAATCCATACCCAGCAAAAAAATTTTATCAGGTGTGACTTTCATACCAAGCATCCGATAGTGTCATTTTAGAGCTTCCACACACTGCTGCAGACTTTATTGGCCGATGTGCAACTCCATTGGAACTAAAAAGTCTGCCAACTTTCGGCCGACTGCGTGATCAGCGAGGCGATCTTCTACGTGCGCACCCTCGATCAGCTCGGAATGAACTTCAGTTATGCACATATTTTTTCTTTAGATAAAACATCCTAAATTCTTTAGCGATGTGTTTTGAAAATGTAAAATTTCACTTATATTCTTAAGTTTTATTATTTATTTAATATTTTATATGCAATATATTGAATGAATTTGCTCACTTTAATTTAAAAATTCTTAAAAAGTTTTCTGAGATAGGGCGTTTTCGTACTGGCGGCCGAGATAGGTCGATCATCCACTCAGGGGTCGATATTGTGTAAAAATTTACTTCAAAATCTTGTGTAGTGTCCGTATGTGAAGACTATTTTCTGCATTTTGAAACTTTGAAAGCATCTCCTGAAAATTTGCATTTTTTGAGTTGTAACAGTCTCTTAGTAAATGAGCGATTTGTGAATGTAATAAAATTTCTAAGCAGCACTTGCATGCACTGTTGCTAATTTTGTTAATATTTAGCATGATAGCGAGTTAATTTTAGATTGCTACGGTAAATTATAATGATTTGTGTATTTACTTAATTCTATAAAACTCAAAAAAAAAAAAAAACAAATTTAAATCTATAAAAATGTACACATAAAAATGTTTGGAAAAAACGAAACTTCAACTATTCATGGCAAAAAATTGCTGTTTATAATATTCGCTGTATTTAGTTGAATTATTTCAAGAATATTTATCTAAGATCAATATTTGTTTTAATAAGTAGCATGTAGTTACAATTTATTTATGTATATATGTACTTGTGTGATTGACTCGGTATTCCCAATCGGGTTTCCACCTATTCGGGTTGAATATCTATGGGCGGTTTTTTTTTCGAACAAACCGGTTTTTTTCATTTCAGAGAAATCTTGACGTCTCGATAAAAGTTTTGAGTTTTTCGAAGTTTTCAAGGGTTTTTCCAAATTAAGGAAAACCGCTAAATAGTTTTAAAATTATATCTTGGGTTATTTTGGGATGAAAAATATATTTTTGAAAAAACTTTTTTTGCTTGCTGGGACCAGAGGATTAAAGTTAATGTTGATTATTTATTGTAAAATCCGGGTAAATTCATTTGAAATGATTATTGACCGGCCAATAGATGGCACTACAATATCCGAAATGACTTGGATCACCAAATAAACACTATATTTAATTATAAAAATATGGGTATAATTTATATTTTCAAAAAATGTCAATAGACTCCTTCAATTACGGAAAAATTGGCCTTAGAATCGATGCTTATCAATACTTATCCGTTCTTCTACACGCAAAAAAATAATTCATCGAGTTATCGTGTACACGGACGGACGGACGGACAGACAGACTTGGTTTAATCGACTTCTCTTTTCATTCTGATCATTTATGTATACATTTGTGTCTATCTATCTCGATTCCTTTAGGCTGTTACAAACAACCGTTATGCGAACAAAGTTATAATACCTTGTGCACAAGTGCGCTCGGGTATAAAAATGACCGTGGGACGTGGCACCTCCTATTAGGGTTGCCAACCGTACTATAATATATAGTATTGTACAATTTTTTTCAGTCTGCGTACTATATACCGTTGGAAAAAATTTAATATGCAAAAATACTATACTTATTCATTTATAAATAAATTAAATATTTATTTATTAATTAGTTGAATTAAATTTATAATAAATTGTAAAATTTAAAAGTTACGACGTTAGCTGCTAAGGCCATTTATTGGCTGACATATGTATAAATATATTTCAGTAATTGGCAAGAAATACTATATACATATATTTGAAGTGTACTATATTTTTTCAGATTTTTTTGAAAAAGTGCTATATCCTACTTGAAAGAGCAAGGACCAAATAATTTAATGGCCTATCTCTCTTTCTCCTCCGACTATAGGTCTTCTCAGAGAAGCATCTTTAAAATCATAACCCTCAATCAACAGAATTCTCATTTAGTTTTCATAAGACTTCCTTGAGGCTCTTAGAAGTCCGAAGAGAAAAAAAAGTGGCTCATTGAATGCTTTAGTATTTGCCTTTTCAAATTGGAAAGATGGTAGGTGTCACGCTCCTTCTTTTTTTTGTACTAGCCTCTAACCTACAATATTTGGAACCAAGCCGCTTGATACGAGGGTTGCTATTTATATTTCTGGTCTTCCTTTAGCACCGTAAAAACTGGTGCATATAATGAATTTCCTCGTGGGAGATATTCGAAGAATTCTGTGAAGGTCGTCCGAAATCAATTGTTATGTTACAAAATATCAATATTATGAAGAAGAAATACTGTTATAATGAGACAACAAAGTCACATTGTATAAGTAAAGCCATCTGAACAAACATAACTTAACTTGTTCAAATATTCCCTTAGTTCAAATAATTTATTGTTTTTAATTAGTTTTTGCCTTTTTGATTTTTATTTAATTTTTCTTAAGTTTTTCGAAATTTTCAGCGCTACAAAATTCGGGTCCTGATCATAATTAACCTTAAAATTTACATAAATCAAATTTTGCTAAACAAAATCGCCTCGTAAACATTAAAACAATGGTACTTAAAGACAAACACGTACGTGAAAATATCAACATGGATAATCATCGCCCAGTCACAACACTAACAAATAATCCCACCACAACTTTCACGACGCGTCGTGGCTACACATTTTCAGCTACAACGCTCTTTCTGATGGCTGCCTGCTTTGTGTGCATCCTACTTGCGGTCAGTTTCATCATCTACAATGTTGCAACGTGTGAACAGGAGCTAAATCCGTTACCGGATGAGGAAGTCATTTGCACAACGGTAAAGAAGCATATACAGAAATCGTTCACACCACAAGTGGCCAGCACGCTGACGCATTATGAACGCGACGTACGTTTGCCGCGTTCAATAAAACCGCAGAAATACAATATTTCCCTTGTGCCGCACCTGCTCAACAATAATTTCACATTCGAAGGAGAGGTACGCATACAAGTTTTGGTACTGGAAGACTGCTATAATATTACCATGCACGCGACCGAATTGAATATCACCAAAAACGATGTGACTGTACGTCGTATTGGCATGTCAACGGCGACGTCGACTTTGCAACCGGCTTTGGCAACGAACGCTCACTACATACCGGAAATTGGCGGCGCTGAACTGAGGATACGAAAACAATACATGCTTGAAGCCAAGCAGTTTTTCATCATAGATCTCTACGACAAACTAACAAAGGGTGGCGTGTACGAGATAAGCATCCGGTTCAGCGGTCTAATACAGGACTATTTGCAGGGATTCTATCGCAGTTCGTATCAAGTGGGCAACGAAAAGCGGTAAGTAGTTGTTGTTGCTAATTATGTTCATGCATATCTACATAGTATGTATGTATGTATGTAGATCCCTATTTACGTATATGTGTTTGTATGTACTATATATGAGTAAATATAACTATAGTTATGCGGTAGTCAAATCAACCTGCTTGGTCTGCAAAGCGTTTCTAGCTAAAAATCATAAGGATGTATTTTGACACGTAAACGAAATTCGCACATATGTACCTACATACATACATACAGAATGGTAGGGTGATCCATGTTACGTATTTTATACGACAAAATCCGGAAAATACAGCTTCAACTTCAGCTTATGAATTTTATTAGAAGCGTTTAGAGAGTAAGAGAGGTAGAGGAGGCAAAGAAACAGGTGTGGTTAAATGGTGTGAAGTCTGAGGCTGAGACCACGCAATGAGCGGCTGAGCGACTTAATTAAAACATACGAAATACTATTGCAGTGGCCATGCTCTGAGCGGCATTTCGCTTGCCGCTTTGTCGCTCATTGCGTGGCCTCGACCTTAGGCTTTGCGATAGAAAACAACGAAGCTCCACAGGAAGCATATTTCTGATCTCGGCAGCTTCTCGGTGGGGAGAAATAAGTGCGATTAAATTTTTCAAGAGAGTGCCTACTCGTAGCTCATCGTCGCACGCTGGGACCAAGCGTGCTCAAAACTAAATTTTTTAAAAAGGCTTTTTTTTGAAAAGTAGAAACGTAGGTTTATTCCCCATTAAACTCTACATTTGGGGGTAAGTTTTCAGCGTTCTATCGTTTTTTAGCTGGGAGATATGCGTGTCCAAACTTGAAAAATTTGAACAATATTTTTTTTTTCAAAACTGAGAAATTCAAATTGTTATTGTGAAAAAGTGGTATTATACTTCGTTACTTATAATGAAGTTTATATATTTTTTGTTGTATTTTTTTTTTTTGAATTATGTGTTTTAAAAATATTATATTAAAAAAAAACTAAACTAACCTCTATTTTTTGCAAGTGTAATTTTCAAAATCATTTTTTTTTTAATGCGTAAAGCGCCTTTAAATTTGACAGTACTGCAATAAAGTATGTTCCTTCCTTGTTAAGAATCCGAGTTCAAAACCAAAAGCACTTTGCGCTTTTCTAAATAAATTGGTTTTAAAAACTTCTTTTTGATTTTAATTAAACACAAAAAGATATACTTACGGTTAAGTTTGCTATACAACACCCACATATTGAAAAGTTTTGACTATTTATTTTATTTTAATTGTTTTTTTTTTTAATAAAATTATAGCTGATTTTTTAATTAATTTATGTTTTTACTTAGATTCATTACTTGCTTTTCGATATTTTGTATGCTCAATTTCTAAATCTCTTTAAATTTAAAACATAATTGGGTATTTATATCCATATCGAATCAAAGACGAAACTTAAAAAACTCTCTACTTTTTTGAAAAAATTTTCTTAAACTATTTTTACTTTCAACTTTGTTTTGGCCATGCACATATCCCATTATGTTTTACTTTGAAACGTAAATTTTTGTATATATTTCCTATCTTTTACTATCTAACTGATCTCTATATAAACGACTTCTTGTTTCATGCTCTCTTCTAGTGATTACGATAAATACGCACATAGTTACTGGTATTACCTTTGATCGCTTTTAACTTAGTTCTAAGTATTGCGAATTCATTGATAAAACTAGCACCGAAACGAAAAGACTTGTTCTTCCTGATTATGTTGTAACCTAAACTTACTTGTTTTTACTAAAACTAGCTGGGGAAAGACTCTATAAAAAAATTTACCACTAATGGGTTAAAATACGATCAACAATTCGTTAACTCAAAGTCGTAAATGGGTTAAATTATACATAATTCGTATAACCATTAAATCAAATTAACTTAACATAAGACATTCCAAAAACTGGGTCACCAATGGGTTAATGCATGGTCAATCATGTGTTAAGACGTCAAAAATTTACTCTCAAAAAGTTGTTCAAGCGAGTCTAATGGAAAGGAAATTATTTTAGAATTTTGAGCACCCGGTTATATGGGGTAGGCCCAGTGTGTGTCGTTACTCCGCTACTTTCACAGCGAGGCAGTGATCCACAGTTTTCAATTTCTACTCTTATAAAGATGCCAAATATGGTAGATGCAACCTGTTCTAAATTCTCCTTCGAAATTACGCCGTATCTAATCTAGACCGTGATCCATGGCGAACAGGACGAATTTGGGTGTTTCCTCCGAACTGGTGCTTCTCTTCGGAAGAGAGGTTTCCTTCCTAGAGACCACTGTCAGAAGCTACCTGCTTGGTGTTCTTCGAGCTGCCACTTAGATCTCTCAGGTTTACTCATCCAACCGAGGGGCTGCCATAACACTCAAGAATTTCCGTAGCCATGCGGCAGTCAGCATGGGCTCTATAACTCGAGCCAGGAATAGCGTTCGACGGTTCAGCCCGTGGCTCTTTTCCTAACTGACCTGTGGACGATTTCGCTTGAAACTTTTTACCGAAGGCTGGATGCGATGGGTTTTCATTGATACCCGCCGAAGTCGATACATACTTAGATTATTGTCAGTAAGGATCGCAATACTTATCCTGCTGAAATGGAAAGTGCCGTTTTAGACTTAAGAGTCAATTGCACCTCCTTGTTGCAAGAATAGCGAAGATATTAAAAAAATTCTTACAAATGAACACCGGGCTTTTTCAGGATCAAATCGGGACTAGTTTGGGTTTATTTCGGCCCAGTTTTGGGACCTGTTTAGGAAAATTTCATGACCCTTTTTTTCTTTTCAGGACTATTTTGAGATTAGTTCATGATTAGTTTAGGACCATTTCGAGCCCGTTTCGGAACTAGTTGGGGTTCACGTCAGAACTTGTTCAGAATTATTTCAGGACCATCTCGGGACTATTTCGAGACTGGTTTAAAACCATTTCGGGACAAGTTCTAGACTATTTCAGTACTATTTCAAGACAAATTGAGTACAATTTCAGGACTAGTTCGCGATCATTTCCGAACAAGTTTACGAATTTTTCAGAACTACTTCGGGATAGGGTTGGTTCGAAACTAGTCACGAAATGATCCTAAAATAGTCCTGAATTAATCCCGAAAAGGTTACAAAAAAGTCGTATACTGGTCTCGATAACATTCATAAAATAAAAAAATTAAATTAAATAAATTCTTTATTCCTATATAACTTTTTTTCTTTGCTTAGTGATTAAAAGACTCTATAGAAAATCAAGTCCGTGCAAATTTCGTTCAAAGACTTGCGTTATTGAAGAATGTAGCTAAACTATACTGTAGAAGTTATTTTCAAAATCCAATATGTTTTTAGTATAATAGCAACAGGCAGACTTTTGTATAATACTGTATCGGAAAAGAAAATGCTAATGCTAAGGCTTTGCCAAGTCGTATGCGGGTGTTCACACATCAAATTTCATGAGTAGTTGGTACTTACGCCTTTTTTTTTTTTTGTCTTACAGCTGGCTAGTTTCAACACAATTTCAAGCCACTGATGCTAGAAGAGCATTTCCATGCTTCGATGAACCATCTTTAAAAGCGAACTTCACATTAAAAATAGCCCGTCCGCGCAACATGTCCACAGTGTCTAATATGCCCATTGTGTACACAAAAAATCAGTAAGTAACCTAATATTGTAAATATTAAATTTAAAGTAATTAGCTCCTAAATTTTGACAAATTAAAAGCATGTATAACTAAAGTAACATTTTAAAATTATCAAAAAAAAAAAAAAAAGATTGGCCTGCAGTTGTAATCAAAATAAAATGGGTTCTAAAGTTAAAAAAAAAAAACAGATTTTTGATAGATATCCCATTGGAAGTTACATTGGTCGAACAAATTTTAGCTGCGCCTCATTTTGACAAGTCTTAACATATTAGTATTTTGTTAATTGATTTTGGTTTTGACAAAAAAAAGGAGTTCATTCATTGACAAATCCCGTATAAATCCAAGTTTAACACTTTGTGCAATATTTAAAAAGGCCTCAGCATACTTTCGTAAACATCGAGCTTCTTTAATTGGATTTCCTAGAAAGATTTCTTTTAAAAACTAGCGGTAAGAATTTTTGTTGTCCCATTTGCTTCCATATAACGAATACAAACAATTTATTTTATATGAAAGGAAACCGTAAAATCTTAGAGAAAAAAAGGTTATAAAAAATCAATGGTAATTTTCAGCCATTTGAAACTTGGTCTTTATTCTGCTAGATTTTAATTGGCTGCAGAACTGCACTCTCAGAATATTTCGAGGAAATCTAATTAGGAAAGCTTGCAATTTTTACGAAATTTTATTGCATTTTTTTAATGTTGCACAAAGTTTGATACTGGCATAGCCTTTAGAGTCGATTATATTTTGACTATAACTACGGGCCGTTTTATAGCTGAAAAGGCATTGATTTTGTTTTTAAAAATATTTATCCACCCATTATTGGCTGTGGGCCAACATTAGCTTTCTCTCGCTATTTAATGTTATTATTTTCCAGTGAATATCTTACCGATTATGTATGGGATCAATTTGCCGAAACCTTACCTATGTCCACTTACTTGGTGGCCTATGCAATTTCGGACTTCAAACACATCTCCGATGGTAATTTCTCGGTATGGGCACGCAAGGATGCCATACAATCAGCCAACTATGCACTTAGCGTTGGACCGAAAATACTTAAATTTCTTGAAGAATTTTTCAATCTGCCCTTCCCGCTGCCGAAAATTGATATGATAGCGATACCAGACTTTCAAGCGGGAGCCATGGAGAATTGGGGCCTGATAACCTACAGGTACATGAAAAAAAAACTGAAATAACTCGAGTAAATGAGCCTAAATTTCGTTACCATTATTTGTGCCACCCCCTTTCTTCTGTGCAGGGAGACCGCAATGCTCTATGAAGAGGGCGTTTCGGCTACAACGAATAAGCAACGTATTGCCAGTGTTGTTGGCCACGAACTGGCCCATCAGTGGTTTGGCAATTTGGTAACACCCAGTTGGTGGGCTGATATTTGGCTCAATGAGGGATTCGCCAGCTATATGGAATACTTCACTGTGGATGCGATTCATCCGGAGTGGAAGCCACAGGATCAATTTGTAGTGAATGAATTGCAGAATGTATTCCAGTTGGACGCGCTTTCATCATCGCATAGAATCTCAGTAGAAGTATTCAACCCAGATGAAATTTCAGAGATTTTCGATCGTATTTCTTATGCCAAAGGTTCGACCATCATACGCATGATGAACCATTTCTTAACTACGAAAGTATTTCAACGTGGATTAAGCAAGTATTTAAAAGAAATGTAAGTCTATGATACCGAATTTATACGTCATTACATACATACATAATTAAACTTAAATGTATACATTATGTAGGGCTTACAACTCCGCTGAACAGGATGATTTGTGGCGCTTTTTAACTATAGAAGCCATTGCAGCTGGCCTGCTAGACCGAAACACCACTGTTAAAAAGATTATGGATACGTGGACTTTACAAATCGGTTACCCTGTACTCACCGTTACACGTTATCCGAATACGCATGCCATCCGCATGGAGCAACAGCGTTTTAAATTTTCAAATCAGTCCGACTCGCAATACTCTGCTGAGGATAGAAATCCCCTCTGGTGGATACCAATTACATATACAACTTCGAAAGAGTTGAATTTCGAAAATACACGGCCCATCACTTGGGTGCCACGCAGCGAAGTTTACGAAATTGAAGATCGTAATCTCTCCACTGCGGATTGGTTTATCTTTAATATCCAACAAACTGGATATTATCGTGTCAATTACGATGCTTATAACTGGAAAGCTATTACAGCTCACCTAATGCAGCCACAGAAATATAGAAACATAGGTCCAGCGAATCGTGCACAATTATTAGACGACGCAATGAATTTGGCACGTGGTGAATATTTGAGCTATGAAACAGCATTGAATATGACGCGGTATCTCAATCATGAATTGGATCTGGTGCCATGGAAGGCTGCTATAAACGCATTTAATTTCATCGATTCGATGTTGGTTAATCAGGGCGACTACGATCTGCTGAAGGTGAGTCACTTGATGAGATTGCATGCAATTAAAGATAAAGAGGAAGATGCGTGTCAGTCCCGAAATACATACTTGAACAAAGGAAACCAGGCCTCTCGTCACTTTCTAAACAAAGAGAGTTTTGGTATTGTTGAGGATTAGCGTTAGGTTTTCTCCATGCGATCGGACGTAAAATTAGTTAGTGAATCTCTTTCCAAAGTCATGAACACTGCACTCGTGGTTAATTTCTTTCGAATATATACTTTGAGGCTAGTTACTAGAGATTAAAACTCGATTTGTGGATTTGAAGGTTTCCTCTGCAGCAACCCCATCAGAGGAAAGCATAAAAAGTACCCACTTACCCCCATATCGTCTCCTAAAGTAGATTAATACTGGTATTCAGTAAGTCAGTCTCATATTAAGCCACTAAATTTGAAAACAAATTAGTTAATTTTTTTGTTGCTTGAGGCGATTTTGGTATTCAGTATGAGAAAGTCATAAAACGTTCACCAAAAATAGGTGCGTTCCCTAACTGGCAAGAAGTTGCAAGAATTTACAGGAATTTACCAGAAAGCGTTCCCGTACNAAATACGCGAAATGCGAATGTGGATTTGAAGGTTTTCTCTGCAGCAACCCCATCAGAGGAAAGCATAAAAAGTACCCACTTACCCCCATATCGTCTCCTAACGTAGATTAGTGCTGGCATTCAGTAAGTCAATCTCATATTAAGCCACTAAATTTGAAAATAAATAAGTAAATTTTTTTTGTGGCTTGAGGCGATTTTGGTATTCAGTAAGAGAAAGTCCCAAAACGTGTACCAAAATAGGTGCGTTCCCTAACTCGCAAGACGCTGCAAGAATTTACAGCAATTTACCAGAAAGCGTTCCCGTACTCGGTTCTCTGGTAAAGTAGAGGAAAAATGAAGAAGTTGCAAGATTTTACCCGAAGAGTTTTTGTGGTCACCATTCTGCTGTGTGAAATTAAATCTTTTTTGACAGCAGTAAATTTTTGACAAACGCAGATTTATGCAGAGTAAAATGAAACATTACAAGAAATATTAAACATAGTGTACTACTTCCCAATTTTGCCGCCAGCAAATATTTCCCAATATTTTATTGTTTTTGCTTAAATTTGGGGCAGACAAATTATATTCATCAACAATCTTTGCTACTATCAAAATTTGCTTGGATATGTCAAAAATTTCGCTAGCGTCATAAGCTAATGCAATTTTTATTCACCTCTGACTTGTCAAAAATTTACTCGCCGCGAACTTTATTTCCCCCCAAAACAAAATTTTTCGACTTTTTTTTTATTATAAAGGCCCCGCCAAATAGAAATTCCCTTCCGCGGAACTCTGACCATCGCTTCGCTAATTTTTCATAGCCAAAATTCTTTTAATGAAAAGCGGTGCGGCCTAAATGTGTAGACCAGGGAAAAGTAATACCTGCAATGTGTTATCAACCAAATCCTGTCATATGAGGGGCATTTAACTAGATGCATGTTGTTAGGTGTGTCTGCTATTCGTTTGGAGATTTTTGGCGATCAAAATAAGCGATAGCGAAAGTTGGAATCCTGCTGCTGGTTTGAATTAGAGGTATACGCCGCCGAGCCACGCCGCCGCCGCCGCCGTTTTTTGTCATTTTTCACTCGCCGCCGCCGAGTCATAGAAATATCGGCGCGGCGGCGGCGGCGGCGGCGGCGGCGTGCGGCGCCTAAGGATTAATGTACAAAATTTTCATGATATACTAACACTGAACTATATCGTACAATTGCGTCCAAATTTGTCGTGAGAGGTAGCAATCGACGCGTTTCGATCCTCATAATCATATTTCGATGGTGGAAGGTTAATATTGTTAACTATTTTAAAATTATTAACAAAAAACTTTTTTTTAAAAATGGAATTTAAAAAAATTCCAACTTGAATAAGAGTGGTGAATGGCTGACGCTCACAAAATGATAGGATAAGTTTAGCAGCTTCATGGTTTTCTATGCTCTTTGGTATGTGGCTAATGGCCAGATGCGCCGGCGCTATTTGAGGCGCCGGCGTCGCCGCCGCCGCCGATTATTTCTAACATTGACGACGCCGCCGCCGCAATATCTATCGGCGTAAACCTCTA